AACTCCATCTTCTGAATGCAAGGTGTTCTTTTTGAGTTGCTTATTTACTTGTTTGGAGGACAGGGATTATGGATGTATTTTCTAGCGTCACAAGAATGCTGTGTGACAAACTGCAGAACCTCAGGTGCAGACAGTAGCTGCTGTCTAGGGTATACTGGGAGTAGTTTACTATCTTACGGGTCTCACCTGGGTCTCAGCTGTGGAAAATGAGGAAAACTGTTCTTCGCCCTGTGTGCCTCATCTTTTAGTAGGCCAGCCCAGGCGTGCCCCTCATGGTGATGGCCAAGGTCCAAGAGAGAGCAAATGGAAGCATGTTGAGTTGCTCCAGGCAAGGCCCCTAACAGATACACTTCTCTTCAGCTCATTTTATTGGCGAGGTTATGTTTGAAGGGATGGAGAAACAGGCATCTTCTCTTTAGGGAGAGAAACTACAAAATTACTGGGTGTTGGGTCATTAATGTGACCTGGCCGACAGAGCTGTGGGACCTTCCTCTTGTTTGTACATAGGCTGATGTGTAGTCAGAAGTTTCTGTTCCGCCAGGTCCCACAGACATTCAGTCCAAAGAAACACACAAAGGCTTGTATTAATTTTAAACTGTTTGGCCTATTAGCTCAGGCTTATTATTAACAAGCTCTTAAAACTTAAATTAACCCATAATTCTTGTCTATGTTTAGCCACGTGTCTTAGTACCTTTTCTCAGTAGGACTTTCTCATCTTATTTCCTCTGTGTCTATCTTGTGACTGACTCTCTGCCTTTCCTCTTCTCAGAATTCTCCTAATCTGGTCGCCTCACCTATACTTCCTGCCTGGCTACTGGCCAATCAGAGTTTTATTAAATTAATACGTTTGGCAAATCTTTACAGTGTACAAGAGCATTATCCCTCAGCACTGATACTTTGCAAGTAGGAAGTGCCTGAGACGTGCAGGGTGTTAGAAGTAAATGAAGTTGCCACTAGCTAGATTTTTAGGTTAAGACTGGGTTGACCAAGCCTAATGTGGAATGTTAGCCAATGTTTAGCTGTTACAAGGAAAGTTTGCATTATGTGGGCTAACACTAGCTTCATTATGTATCGGTGCAGGGGCAGGTTAGGAAATCTTTCTCCATGTCAGCTTTTCCACTGTGAACTTTTCAGGATGTTAGGTGATCAGTGGCCACGAGAAGAGGCACAAGCAGAGGAGGGGCTGGATGGGAGTACACTTGCCAGAAGTTGCTTTCTCCCCTAAAGTATATTCACACCCTTTCTGTTCTGGGCCCTCATTATTCAAACAGTAGGGTGGGGAAAGAGGCCACAGGCCAGTAGGAATACTTATGGGATCTGGAACCTCAATAGGTACCCAAATCCTGGGGTGCCCTGAAGGGTCTGTGGACCACCCACCTCTGGGCAAATCTAGTATGTCAAGAGACCATCAGTGATGCTCTCCTTTCGTTGATAGCCATACCTTGCTGAGGGAGATTTACTGGAACCTTCCACAGCCAGAAACTCACATGCTAGACCTTCCAGGTTCAAGTCAGAGAGCATCCCTTCCCAGCTGTCTGACCTGAAAGTTTCGTGACCTTTCTTTTCCATTCCTAAAGGTAGGCTACTCAGGAACCTGCCTTGGGTCATTACTAGAGACTTCTCATGGTTGGGATAAACTTTTCTCCCAAACAGACCAGGCTCACACCAGGGCTTGAGAAAAAGCTACCTAAGGTTGAGACACCTCATTTTCATGTCTTCTCCCCTCTCTCCCTCAGGGGATCCCCAAGACTAGTTAGGTGCCTTCTCCAGTACAAGAAAATCATTGAGGTAGAATGCCAAGACATTGTCCCCACAAAATGTTGGGTCTAGGGCCATGTCTCTCAAGGAGTGTTTCACAGTCTTCTTCCTGAGGTCAGAACAACAACACACTATAACCCCAACTCCACACCCATCTTCTCAGCCCTTCTAGGAGGCCTATGCCCGCACAGCCAACTCCTTTGTATCAGTTTGAGGTGCACACCTATGTACACCGGCTCCTGTGGAACAGAGAGGCTGAAATCGTTACCAGTTGGCTGGCTCTGGCGCTGACACCAGTCATCTCAACTGTGCCCCTTCTTTCTCCTTAACAGAGACTTGCACAAGCCGCTTCTGTTTGATTCTCCTAGAACCGTGAGAACCAGGCCCGTATGTGAGGCTGCGGTTTTCATTCTATTCAGCCTTTGTGTATTCAAATTCTCCTGGTTTCGGCTCTTGCTGTCCTGCCAGATTTCCATCGCATTGATGGCTTCTCTGAATTAATAAGTGTTTTGCAACCCCTGAAAAGTTTCCCCAACCCCCAGGACTGGGACTTATCCATATTGATCCCCCTCCCACTTTCTCTTTCTCTCCAGCTACTTCTTAGATGTTGTATTTTGTAAAGTGTTAATAGAATTCTTCTTGCACCCTGACACTCTATCCATTCAGGAGGTCTTCGAGAGTCCCATTGTACAGCTGGACTGCAGGGAAAAGAGCCCTATTCTCTACAACAATGCTTGCCCCCAAAACACACACACAGATCCCCCCCTCCCCATGCTCTCACCAGGGTGAAGGGAATGTGGAGGGTACAGAAGAAAACAGGCAAACTTAGCAAGGAGAAGCAGGGAGCCAATTACACACTGCTGAAAGACAGGTTTTTTTTAAAAAACAAAAAATTAATTCAAAATATTTATTTCCTATGGGGATCTGAGTATCAGTACGAAGACATGGCCAACACAGAAGGGAGGCTGTTTCCTTCGCTGTTAGGCATTTTCAGTTCAAAATCAGGCTTTGGCAGACATCTCAGAAAATGTGGAGATGGGTGCAAAGAAGCAGATGCCACATTTACCTGCACTCTCTGCAGGCCTTACCCCCAACCCACACCCACACCCCAGGCATCTGAATTCTTCTGGCATCCCCAGGTCTGAGTCTGAGATACCATATGCTGGAGTGTGACTGCTTTGTGTACAAACACACCGGTTGATCTTATGGTGGTTTGCTTGGGTGGTGCATGGGAGGCGTATGGCCTCAGCAGGTGTCTGGGGGACTCGTGAAGCCTGCCAAGGCATGGGTTCCAGGAACAGCCCAGGGAAGGAGGCCCTGTTCAAGTGATCTCAAACTAGCGTTACCTCTCCTGCCAGCTGGTGCCTGGGAGAAGGGGGGGGGCAACTCACTACTGGAGGAGTCACCAGGCAAGGCTACCCCCCCTACAGCAAATGACAGCAGGAGTGGGGACACCAGAAGGGTGAGGCCTCGGGAGCCTGTTTGTTCAGCCTGGGTTGCTTAGCAACAAAGGGAGCCCTGCCTTCAGAAGGATGTTTAAGTGAGGCCGAGCTCTTCCAGACTGGCTTGCCTACCTCTCCCATTCTTGCCTGAACTCCACTCTGCCCGCTATTGTATGTGATAGAATCTAGAAAAATGGATTCCGTTTGTCCAGAGGCACCGTTTTAAATCTCGTTTCATTGTTTCACCCAGGAGGAGTGAGAAATGAATAGCCTGTGATTCCTCTTCAGGTGGCTTAGCTGAACGCCCCCCCCCCACCACCTCACAGCTTGCTTGTGAGCCTTTGAACATAAGTGAGTGCTAAGATCTTTCCAGCCACATCCACACACCCAGACTGCTGCAAGCAGAGTCCTCTGGCTAACAGTTGGGTAGCCGTGTGGTTGCAGAGAACACGGAGAGAGCTGCCGCTTCTCACTGGCGAAACAAGTTTTCTCTGGGATAAGGATGTGTCTTGTGGCCTAAAGGATTAGATCTACAAATAACAGGAGTGGATTTCGAGGCCGTATTTAGGTTGTCAGTGGTTTCTTGAGATCTGTCTGGAATCCTACGGCTAGAAGTGCCCAAGAGTTGCAGGGCACCAGAGAAGAAAGACCCCTAGCATTGGTACATCTGTGTGCTAAGGCTGCCATAGCAAAGCACCACAGGCTGGAGAGTTTCAGCGACCAAAATAGATTTGTCTCATGTCTGTTTATTCTGGAAGCCAGAAGTCCAAGATTGAGGTGAGGCAGGGTTGGTTTCTCCTGAGGCCTTGTTGACCTATGGTTTCCCGTCCCTGTGTGTGCCTGCCTTCCCGTCCCCATTGGAGAACACCATTCGTATTATTAGGCCCACCCCAATGACCTCATCTAAATTTTGTTGCTGCTGTAAAGACTCAGTCTTGGGTGGAGAGGTGGTTTGGCAACTAAGAGCACACTTAATTGCTTTTGCCAAGGATCCAAAGTGGGTTTCCCAGCACCCAGTCAGACACCTCAGAACTCCCTGTCGCTCCAGTTCCTACTGAGTCAACACCCTCCTGCAGGCGTCCTGCAGGCGTCCGCGCACGTGGTGCATACAGACACAGATGCATACACATCAATAAAAATTTTAAATCTTGTTAAAACTAAAGCACCCAGTCCACCTAGACGGTGCTAGGAATTGGGGCTTCAGTCGAGGAGTTTTAGAGAGCGTGGTCCAGCCAGTCGGGGTGAGACTGCTGAAGTCTGCTGTTTACAACTGAACAAACTAAGTCTACGTCAGAAGAGAAGTAAGCTAGGGCCTCTTGCTCTGTGGAATACTGGCCAGTTGTCCTGATGTAGTGTCCTGGGTGGAATATTTGTTATTTTGTAATGTCATTTGTACAACCGAAAAGCCAATAAACAAACAAACAAACAAGTAGTTCCTCAAATAATATAATGTAAACAATTCTAAAAGAGGTATGGATTTTTTAATTATACGGGGAGGGGGTCAGTATATTCGTTAACATAGGTGCCCATGAGTGGCCTCCCCCCACATGCTCTAAAGGGAAGTATACTATATGTTAACTAAGGTTATGCCAAGTAGAGGGTTTTGCTTTTATTTTCCCTTTTACAAATATTTTCCATTTAAGGAACTCTTACTTCAGTGATGGGAACCCTCTCCCTCACCCCACACAGTTTCTAATTTTGGTAATGGAGACCATCTCTCTTCCCCCCATGCAATCTGTGTTTGTAATATTCTCTGTGTTTTGTGAGAAGTACTGAAGCGGCTTCTCTTCTCTGTTTCAGGTGGAGGATGCGATGCTGATGTTTGACAAAACCACCAACAGGCACAGAGGTAAGATGGCCCCAGCGTAAGAAAACTGCCCCTTCATTCTCTCCCCGCCTCCAGCCCTTCTCGCCTCCTGTCCCATTGACCAAAGATCTAAGGAAGAATCAGGAGCCAGCAAGTGGACATAGCCATCTGTTGGAGGGCTGGATGTTAATAAGAGGGCCACCATAACACAGCGCATCCAGACACCAGACAGTGCAAACCCTCTCGGCTAGGGAACTCCGACTGAACTGAGCAGCCGTGTCCAGCACATTCCTTGAACTTACCTTTCTTATCCTGGCTCTCTTAGCGCCTGGCCAACCTCAGCACTCAGTTCAGTGATCCTAGTGAAAATTATTCATGTTAATTACTCAATCGGACTGTCAGTCTGCATCGATAGAGGTAGCTTAGAAGGCAGACTGTCAACCTACAGAACGAGCTAAAGGAGTCGGGAAAACCTCGTCTTGAATCTGTTCGCCGATTACAGCGATTGCAAATTTGAAAATGTGCCGTGGAGCCTCCCAGTGCTTAGGGGACATCTATATTTATTTGTTCCTCCTGGTCAATCGATGTTATAGGAAACGGGTCTTACTCAATCTGGGGTCCACAAACCTTTGAACTGATTTACACAGTGTTTGAGCCTTGCCTGGGAGTGGATGCCTAGTGCTGAACAGAATATCAAAGAGAACTCTCTGCAACTCCACCTGCCAGCAAAACATGTGAAAACCGTTGATTCAAATAGGAAAATGGGAGGAATCTGGACCGTCTGAGCGCAAAGTCAGAGGACACTGTGACTTAGCGCTCTGTGCTCCAGAAGTGCCGTGTTTCTGGGGTTCCTATTAGCAGGGTGTTAATGAGCAGTGCTTCTGAAGAGGGGTGGCAGGAAAGGGTGTGGGGTGTTCTCCGGGGAAGGAGCCCCGAACCAACCCGGAGAGCTGTTTCCTTGCCACGTCTCTTGCATTTAGATGTTTCTCCCGTTGTTTACATTCCGGCTGTCACCTGTGATTAGAAGCAGTTACCCAGCGTTGGTTGTATCTCCTTCCTGTCTGGGGCAAGCAGCGGAGTGAAAGGGAGGGAGAAATGAAGCAGGGCTGAGTAGAGACCTGCACATCCTGCCCTAGTGTGCCTGGTAACCCAGCTTTCAGCGGCTTTCTCAGGAATGGAAAGTTGAGCGTTGGGTGGATAGGGCAGGGTAGAGGACAAGGAGAGGCGAGGAGACAGAGCTGGAGGGGTGGAGGGCGGGGGGATGCCCGTGATGTACTATTTGTGATTGTTTTCTGTCATCATCGGCCTTGTCTCTGGTGTTACAGATGTCTCAGTACCACGCTGGGCATGGTAGCCACTGGCTTGTAGTCTCCTCAGAATGCTGACATACAAGAGTCAACCTGGGCAACACAGAGAGAGATTCTGTCTGTAGAAAGTAAACGTGCAGGGGCTAGGGAGACGACGCGGTGGTTAAGAGCGCCGGCTACTATTTCAGAGGCAATAGTTCAGTTCCCAGCACCCACCTCAGGTGACCGACAACCACCCCAACAACAACAACCCCAGTCAGTCCAAGGAGAGGCAAGGTTTATAGCTTCCGTGGGCGTCTGTACGACAGATATACGACACACAGACACACAAACAGATGCATAAATTTTAAAACTGTGGAGCCAACACTCTGTTTTCTTGTGTCTCTCATATTTTGAGCTCCACAGCCATCATGGGAGTCAGAGAGTTGTTGTGACTTTGGAGAAATTGCTGCACATTTTTGTGCTTCCTTTGTGTCTCCATTTATAAAACGAAAGTGGTAACCACAGTGTCTGAGGGATTTTTAGTCCTGTGGTAAGACACCACATCTGAAAGCACCTTGGAGAGGAAAGGGTTTATTTCAACTTACACTTCTACATCAGTCTGTCGTCAAAGGAACTCAGGGCAGGAACCGAGGCAGAGACCCTGGAAGGACACTAACAACTGGCTTCTTTCTCCTGGCTGGCTTAGACTGCTTTCTTGGTCCAGCTGCCTAGGGGTGGTACTGCCTGCAGTTAGCTCGGTGCCCCCACACCGGTCGTTGATCAAGAAAATGCCCCGCGGACTTGCCTACAGGCAGCCTGACAAGGCATTTTTCCCTCTGAGGCTGCTCTTCTTAGATGACTCGAACTTGTGTAAAGTTGACTAAAAATCCACCCAGGGCAAGTACTTACTTAACTAGTGTTGTTTGGCAAGCGTAAGGCGAGGATAAATGTACGTAAGTGTTAGCTCTTATGATTGCTATCTTTACCATTCTGTGGCTGAGATACCAAGGCCCAGGAGAGGGATATTCTGAGTTCTACGAAGCTTCCAGCCCAAGACTACTGATTCCAGACTCTTTCTATGTGTACCCAGAGGGGAACAGGTTTTTCTGGGTGAGTGATCCCATCTGAATGTGTTCTCAGGAGTCAGTGTCAGAACTCAGAATCCCAGGAGGTTGCTGGGCCATGTCATGGTGACTGCGCCCTTTTCTTATTTATGTTAGGATCTAAGGTCAAACCCAGGACCCAGACCACAATGATTTACTTTCTAAGTGCTTTCTCTCCCCCCCCCCCCGTGTGTGTGTGTGTGTGTGTGTGTGTGTGTGTGTACACCCACATGTGTAGGACATGGAGAGAAGCATCACATGACTGGGCACTGATAGAGGTGAGATTTGGCCTCAGAGAATGTGCCTGGTAACATCTTCCCTTACTTGTGAGGACCAGGGTGTTTTAGAGGAAAGACCCGACAGCCTAGCATGCAGAGATGAGGCTGTGTTCCTTCTGTGAGTGGGACTATAAGCATTGTTAGGAGATGGAAGGAGGTCCCACCGGATTCAGGACATTTTTGCTATTGAGTCCAGACATCTGGTGGGCTCTGGGGGCAGAGCCCCGTGTGTTTGGCCTCCAGCTCCCCTGCCAGAGGTTCAAACCCCTGTAGCAGATGCAGGCCTGACTCTGTGGTTTGTTGAGTCTCTGAACAGGTCTGATGATGAATCTCAAGGCAACCGCGGGGCACTCAGATGAGGTGGGAGCCTCTGGATAAGGCCACACGAGAATGCACGGGCTGCATAGCCACGAAGCTGGTCTTGCAGTGTAGCAGGAAGGCAGTGTTTAGCCTCTCTGGTGTACTTTCTGTGCAGTTAGGAACTTTTGCCCATACATGTTTTCCAACCTCCAAATAGCCCAGAAGGTTCTCTTGGGCTTAATGCTAGCAATAGGGTAGTGTCTGCATTTGGAGCATTGAGGAAAGTGAGAAAAACCTTTAAATCTGAGCAGCAGCACAGGTCCTGTCTGCCAACACGTTCCCACACCCCAGGCATAGTGGAGCATGCCTTCAGATTGGGTGATATAAGCTCAGGAAAGAAAACTGGCGCTGGCACCTCACCCTCGCCTCCTCAGCTTCCTGCCTCTTTTCTTCTGGAGGAGAAAGGGTGACTGTAGCAGAAGGTGAAGACCCCTCTCTCCTCACACTGCTTCCAGCTCTTTTCTTAAAGAGCCCAACCTGGCCATGAGCCCCAAGTGTTATCACAGCCTGGTTGGATATCTCAAGCCCCTCACCCACCCTGTTGGCTAGAGAGCCCAAGCTGTGCCTTGTCCCTGATCCCAGGAACATGGGCCTCACTGTGTATCAGGAGCCACAGCTGCTCAGGGAGACTGAGGCATGGACTTGGCCTTCTGAGGCCCACGGACTGGGCTCACTCTGATCATTCTCACCCTTAGGAAGTAGAGGTCAAGTCAATTGCCACTCTACCCTCTGTTGCCACCATCTGTTCCTTGATCCCTGTGGTCCGTGTAGAGAAGGGATGATCCTGAGTCCTATCTGAGCGGCTGTTGACTTCTGTCCACTGAAGGACCAGCCTGGTACCCCTAATGGCATGGGACAGAAGCCAGGGGATGAGTGTTTAGACCCTGCCTCCCAGTGGAGCTAGGCAATATGGATTGTTCTCATCTTACTCCTAGATAAAGCTGGTCTTCCTCTAGCTTCAAGGCCCCCGCCCCCGGGAGGGCGGTGGCTGGGGATTCACTTTCCACCTGGAAAGCACCTGACCATTGCAGTTTCTTTCTCTAAGAACATGGGAAGGGAATTGAGGCTTATTAGGAAGAGTCCTCCACTGGGGGTGGCTAGAGGGAGAATCTGTCCTAAGATGACATCGGAGATAAGGAGGTCCATCCCTGTCCCGGGCAGGATTAGGGATCATCTCTGTATCCACAGGAGCCATCCAGGGATATTTCCCATCCTGGAAGCTTGTCATCTGGGCTCTCTTCTGCTGAGGCAATTTGAGAGGGGTATACCGTAGCAGGACATCTTGGGGGTACTCCCAGTAGCCAGAGAGGCAAGATGTAGAGGATGTCCTTCATTTCTGAAAGAGACATGGGAATCCTGTCTCGACACCCACCCTGATTTCCACTGTCAGAGATCCGTGGCTATTCTAAATGGCCTAAGTCCATCATCTCAGTAGGCGCAGCCAACGCTGTGCGAGCACAGGAGCCGACACAAGGACTGCTTGTGACAAATAGCCATAGGCGAACTGAGCTGCCCAGGGATGCACCCAAGCAGAAGCAGAGCTGAGACCATCCTCTCAGCCTGTGTGACCTGCAGCCCAAGCTCATGGCCACTCTGAAGGCTTGGTACTAAGCAGCTCTGCACATGAAAGAACCAGCCAGGGCTTAGACTACTCTCTCACAGTTTGCTCGCTGCTCCACACCTTCTTGTTGTCCTTGCTGCTCTTCGCTTTCAGATGGAGAAACTAAGTCACATGAAGTGATTCGGTGTTGGGAGCAGAGAGCCATCTTTGTTCCTGCCTGTCATTTTATCCTGTGGTCTTCCATGAGACGATCTGTGTCCTCTGGGGGGGGGGGGGGGGGGGAGAGAGAGAGAGAGAGAGAGAGAGAGAGAGAGAGAGAGAGAGAGAGAGAATGATAGAAAGATGCCTTTCCAATTTTCTCAGAGTCATTTCATTTGCTCTCTAAAGCTTGTTAGAGGTAGCCTGGAAAATGCCGGACAGATCATCAAAGGGTTTTTAATCATTGGGGGCA